CTGATTTCTTGCCCTTCAGTTGCAAGAATCAAAATCCCATTTAATTTGTCAAACCTTTCTTCATTGATGGATCATCCAATTTTACTTTTTTCTATTATCAAACCACTTATTGCACATACAAGTTTTCTTTTCTAAAATCAAAATAAGCATAGAATAGAAGATTCTAATACCTGCCAGATTAGAAGTTGTCTTAATGATCTTGGTCATGGTTTTCTGATCATGGACATCGACTTTCAACACTAATTTCTGTCCGAGCAAAAAGAAAAAAATCATATTTTGCTACAGATCAAAATCCAGATAATCAAGACATAGCGATTCCCTGAAAATTACAGGGAAAAAAGAGACCAAGAATCCCACAGAAACCATTAACAAATTAAACTGAGGTTTTCCATAAATAAATATACATAAAAAAGAAGTCAACTCATAATTAACTCTCACCTGCAGCATTCCTATAAAGCTTTGAGAGAATTAAACTACAATCGACTTCGAAAGCTGAGGCGAGCAAGTGGGTTCAGAGAGAGAGAGAGAGAGAGAGAGAGACGGCAAGAAGAGATAACATTGAGTTAAAGCCAAGGCTATATTTCTATGCGATTGGTCCCTTAACAGATAAGTTTCTTAATTCAACCCTTATACTCGAAACCCATCTCAAAGTTAAAAAATCCAGCCCGGCCGATAGATTAATCCGAATTTAACAAAATCACGGTCTAAATCAGTTCAGCTTAAAAAAAACAGGGAAAAAAGTTAATCTGGTTTGTCCAGTCAAAAACCTAAATTATCAAATTGACTTATTATTTAATTATTCTCATTAAAAATCTATTATTTTTTTAATTTTTTTTAAACCAACATAATTTTAATTTAAAAAAATTAATTAAGTCATGTCAAACGTTCTTAGAACTCGGTCTTGCCCGAATAGACCTGGTGATATAAAATTATATTTGAAAAAACAATGAAAAGCTAAAGAAAATGATAAATAGGTTAAAGAATTAAAAAAAACTAAAATAAAATTTATATTATTAAAAACAAGATGAAAAAATTAAAAATTTAATTTGGTAATATGAGAAACAAAAGAAAGAAAAAAAAAGAAAAACAGTATAAAATAAAATCATCTTCTAAGAAACTACTTACTTCTGGTGGGGTATATATATTTTCTTTTGAACTAGAACATTGAACAACTTAACAACAACACTGTTTTTCTTGGATTTTTTCTCATACATATTTTTTTTTTCATATCTATTTCTATCTTTTTATCTATTTTTTGAAAAATTTAAATTTAAATTCTCTATTTTACTTCCTTTTTAATTTTATTTTTTCGTAATTTTATAATTATATTATGAAGTTTATATATATAAGTATATAGTGGTAGTAAATATTTTAAAATTAACGGTGGACCAAAATTGAATATTTGGATTAAAAAACTCTGTTTTGATAACATTTTTTTTTATAATTTTGATTTGATAATTAATATTCTTGTATCTATAATTCTTAACATTTTAATTTTTTATTAATTGAATTCAAATATATATAAAATTTAATTTAATTTTTTATGTGACTTTATTTCAAACAACCATCTATAATTTTATTTTATTTTTATTTTTTTAATTATATAATTTTGATTTAATTTTATATATATAAACAAAATTTTTACATATAATAATAACAATAACCAAACCAAAATTATAATTATAATTATAATTATAATGGTAATGGTAATTATAATAATAATAAATGTAAACCAAAGATACCAACAATGTATTTCATCCATTAAAGTAGAGTATGTGGGGTCGGGTGGCTTCGTCATCCAGCGCAAATTCTGAATATCTTCGATCAAATTCTCAATCTTGCTGTTCTTTACCTCCCCACTGCTCAATTCACCATTTTCCTGTCCACACCCACACCCTCTGCAAAGATTCATCATGGCAGTTGAGATTGCGCTAGCATGTCTGAAAGGTGCTGCTGGTTTTCTGGGCCAGCAGTTGGCTCCTGTGCTTCTAGGCTTTTGCACGTGCGGGAAGCTCGATAAGGAAAAGCTCGAGAAGTTGAGAGAAACATTGAATACTGTTAATGGCTTGCTCAATGACGCCGAGGAGAAGCAAATAACTGAAGCTGCGAGAGATCTGTTTACTGTGATGGTTCTGAAGACTTGGATTGTGGATGCTAAAGAAGCTATCTATGAAGCTGAAGACTTGTTGATTGAGATTGATAACGAAGCTCGACGAATAGAGTTGGTAGCTGGCTCTCAAACTGGCATGTATCAGGTGCGCAACTTTTTTATCTCCTTTCTTTGTCCTTTAAGCATGAACGAGGAAGGAGAGATGGCCCATAAATTAGAAAAGATTTTCGAAAGACTCGAAAGGTTAGAAGACAAAGCTCGTAGCCTCCATCTGATGAAGAAACCGCCATCTCGTGAGCGCGTGCCTTCGACTTCTCTGCTAGGTCATACTCGAATTTATGGTAGGGACCCCTCTAAGGAGGCCATAAAGGAGTTGCTTGTACCCGATGATGCAGAAGGAGGAAGTTTACAGGTTATTCCCATAGTGGGCATGCCTGGGATTGGTAAAACCACCCTGGCTAGATTTGTCTACCATGATGACGACGTGCAAAAGTGGTTTGATCTGAAAGCATGGGTCTCTGTTTCACAAGATCTTAAGGTTTTCAACCTAACAAAAATCATTCTCAAAGAGTTTGGGTTTTTGAACTGTGATCTCATGCCTCACAATAGTCTTCACTGTAAACTCCGGGAGATATTGATGGGCAAGAAGTTACTTCTTGTTTTAGATGATTTTTGGAATGATGATCCAGAGCAATGCAAGTTTTTAATCACACCTTTGATGGCCGGGGCAAAGGGCAGTACGATTATCATTACAGCACGCGAGAGGAGCGGAACATCATTAGCATTGCAAATTCTTCATCCTTATCCTTTGCAAACAATTCATCCTTTTCACTTGCAGGGAATAAGCAGTGACGATTGCTGGTTGTTGTTTTCAGAATATGCATTTAGTGATGCAAATCGCAATGCCGGCTCACTATTTAAAGAAATGTTTCACTCTACCGTGGTGAGAAGATGCAATGGTTTGCCTTTAGCTGCAAAGTTGCTGGGGTGTCTCTTAAAGTCCAAAACAAATGCTGATGAATGGAGAAAAATATTGAACAGCAACATGTGGGATTTGCAAGATGATAGGGGTCTTCATGTTCTAAAAATGACCTATTATTGTTTGCCGCAGTATCTAAAACAGTGTTTTGCTTATTGTGCAATTTTTCCTAAAGGTTATGAATTTTGCAAAGAGGATGTTGTTCTTCTGTGGATGGCCGAGGGTTTTCTGCTTGCTTATGGTGGAAATAAAGAGATGAAAGAAGCAGGATACAGGTACTTTGAAGATCTTGTATCAATGTTTTTCTTTGAACAAGTAAGTGATAACTCATCATTATTCGTAATGCACGACCTCACAAATGACTTGGCAAAATTTGTGAATGGAGAGTTTGCTGTTTGTTTAGATGATAGTGGTGATTCTTGGAAGGTTTCTAAGAAGACCCGTTACTTATCGTATGCAAAAACTAGATTGGAAGATCTAAACAATCTTGTGGGCCTTGATGAAGTACAAAATTTGCGTACAATTTTGGTAATATCAAAGTTCTTTTTGGCAAACATGAATGATGAGGAAATCAATGATTTTCTGAGAAGATTCCAGCGTCTTCGTGTATTATCTTTGTTCCATATAGACAAGTTGCCTAACTCGATTGGCAGCTTGAAACGACTATGGTATATAAACCTCTCGGGATCATCAGCACACAGGTTGCCTGAAACTGTGTGTACCTTGCACAACTTGCAGATACTGATCTTGCGTGGGTGCAAGAATCTTGTTGAGTTGCCGTCCAACCTCATGAATCTAACAAACTTGTATCATCTAGATATCAAAGGAACAAGATTGCAACAGATGCCACCTCAAATGGGTAAATTATCTAAACTTCAAACTTTAACTGATTTTTTTGTGGGTAAACAAAATGGATCCAGCATAAAGGAAGTAGGAGAGCTCAAATGCCTAGAGGGAAAACTTCGTATTTGGATGCTTCAAAATGTTGTTGATGCTCAAGATGCTTTAGGAGCTAATTTGGAAGGCATGAGGGATCTCAAAAAATTAGATTTGAGATGGAGCGATGATTCACATAGTTCTCTTGATGAATGTGTGCTTCGTCAACTAAAACCTAATGTGAATATGCATTGTCTTGTAATTATTGGTTATGGGGGTTCAAGATTTCCTGCCTGGTTAATAGACTCATTTTTAGTGGATCTAAGGCTTAGTGAATGTCAATGTTCCTTTCTACCACCACTCGGTCAGTTAGCATATCTAAAAAGACTTCTGATCAAAGCATTCGATAAAGTCGAGAGTGTAGGTTATGAGTTTTATGGAAATTGCACTTCCACAAGCATTGCATTCAAATCACTCGAGAGCTTGACTTTTGAAAGGATGCCACAATGGTGTGAATGGATTCCTAATGTTGCTGAAAGTGAAGAGAAAACTTTTCCTTGCCTCAAAGTGCTTTATATAAGTGAATGTCCTAAATTAAAGAAAACTCTTCCCATCTACCTTCCTTCTTTAAAAGAACTCAGAATTACTAAGTGTTCCCAGTTTGTGTTTTCACTTCCAAAGCCTACAACCATTAACAAAATGTTTTTAAGAGATTCTTCAAATGACTATCCTCATATGCTGAAATTAGAGATATTGACTTCTGGTTGGTACAGTCTCATAGTTCAATCTTGTTACTCCTTAGATTTTTTATCGAAGGAGATGCAGCAGCTAGGTTATTTTCTTAGCATGCAGGAAATTAGCATCCATAGTAGTTCACTCAAGTGCTTCCCAATAGAGCTTTTCCCCAGGTTAAAGCAACTTGACATAAGTGAATGCCCAAATCTTGAATCCCTTTGTTTATCTGACAGAGTTTCCACATCTACAAGCACCTTAAATCCCCGTGAGTGCTCAAATCTGCAAGAGCTTTCATTATTTGATTGCTCAAATTTAAAATCAGTGGATTGTTCCCTCCCTTCCCTTGTGACACTAAAAATAAGCTGCTGCGGAGAACTTGAGTCATTTCCAGCTTTGGGTCTGTCGTCATCTCCCGGAGTGTGTTTGTCCTCTAAATTGGAGTCACTTACTATCCATGACTGTCAGAAACTCTTTGCTCGCCTCGAGGAACTGGATTTGGATGGATTCTCTCTTTCAAGCTGTGAGCTGCATGGAATAAGCTCCTCCACAACCACCTCTTCTACAATGTGATCTTCCATATCTGGACTACAAAGCTGTTCAACGCCTATCCTTGGTCAAAGAATTCAAAACCCAAGTTTTGCCGAGTTACAGTTCCGTGCTGGAAGAAATGTATCAACGGGAGATGGGAAAAGTTTGGTTCAATATTTCTCTCTCCCATGAAGTAAAGATTGAGCGCTAGAAGATCAAATGAGCAAAAGCGTCTCCCAATTCTGTCTCTAATCTTCTTCAATCATTGAACACTATGAAGTAATCATTTATTCTTTTTTATTCTATCTACAACTATTGCATCTCCACCTTATGTTTCTAATTCTCTGTGTCTTGGCATGATTCTGATCAGAATTTTATTTTTCCATGACATTTGGTGCTCTCAGTTTGTCCTTGTGGAAACCTAGGTCGTTCCTGATTGGGATCGCTGACTTCATGAACATCAGAAGCGGAATGTTTACAGAGGTAAATTATACTTTTTAGAACATATCAAATATCCTCATGAATATTGTTCTTAGGAGAGTCAAAATGTGTTTACTTGTAATTTCCTGAGTGTATTTTCATTCCAGGTAGCTGCATGCAGCGACCATCACTTTCACTCTCAGTGATAACAAATACTTCTGTGCTTTCACCTCTTGGAACTGTCAATCTATTATCCATCTTGATGTTTCCTATGCTTATTTAGCATGAACTTCTCTGACTGTTGCAAGCTTGTTGAGTTACGCCATTCCAAGTTTCACTTTTCTGTTGGCAGTTATCTTCGGGTACTTTCTGGTTCATCTTGTGGTAAATCACTTGAAGTTCACTCTAGTTTCACTTGATTCCTATAGTTTACTGATTTGCTTATCACAAGCAGGATGGAGAAACTGAAAAACTACAAGTCCCCGAGGATGGGCTAAGGTTTTGGCGCAGTTATTTGTGGTGGAGGGTCATTTGCTAAGGAAAGCTGGATGAAAGGTTCTGCTCTTATTCTGACAATTAATAACGCATGGAATGCAAGGCTAATTCTCTGGGTGATCATCTCTCATATTTAAGTGGACATTTCTTGAGGTTACTCATAATCTTGTCCTACTCAATCAAGTTTTGGCTGTACATAAGTTTATCCAGTTTGTTTATGACAAACACGATGCTTCTACCTGTCAATTCGATCTTCTATCATTCTCCTATTTTTTTTGGAAGAAATCCTACATTATGGAAGTCAGAGTGGAATGTGCAGAACCCGTTTGAGTAGTCTCTATCACATTGTAATAAAAAGTGGACATATCGACATCAGTTCCTTTACAACATTGCCTGGAATTGTCTCTCTCTTCATCCTGGACTCTGCACCCCCCCAACGTTCTCCATTTGTTTTAGTAATCCTTTTGGCGATGATATTAAATCTGGAAAGTGAACTCAGAAACCTCTCACTTTACAATATTCTGAATACTGTTTTTGAACAACTTTACATTTATTTGAGAATAGAAAGGTTCCAAATTTTAATTCTCAGGTTTCCTCACTTACCTCCCTTTCATTAACTTTTGCCAAAAGCTGAAGTCTTTGGAGTACAAAGGACTCAATCATCTAACCTCGCTCACAGAATTCAGAATCTACTTCTGCTCTAAGCTCTAAGCCATGCTAAAAGAAGGCCTGCCATCTTTCGAGTTCTGTCCCTTGCTGGCAAAAAGGTGGCAACGGGAGGTAGTGGAAGACTGGCCCAGGATTTCTCACAACACTGAGATAGAGATGAATTTTGAAAGATCAAATGAAATGGCAATTATCCCTGAGCTTCTCTTTCATTCATCCAACACAATAAGGTACCATAACTAAGAAAACGTTTCTTATTATGTTAACAACTGTGATACCAGAATATGTTGGCAGAATTTCCATGTTATATGTTGGCAGAATTTCTCACTGACGCTTAATGAATTCTTAGCAGGATTTTCCTTTCTGTATGCTAATACTCCCGAGGCGTTCGTGCTCTAAAATCAGTTCATTTCCGATTGCCAATGACTAAGAGAACAGCAGAATACTGGGATTGTTATAACTTGGAGCTCTGTGTAGCCAACTTTTGCTTCTACTCTGATATATTTTGAATCCAGTTTTCAGTATATGTTGGAACCCCGAAAATTTCGGTGAAAAATATTTTGTGTTGAATGGGATGATATTTTAGTGCAATGATTTGAAATGCATGCAATAATTTGTTACTATTCTTTTGTCCCGTTTTGTTCATATGATTCTCAGTGCTCCTCTGTTCGCCTGTAGTAAACAAAAGGGTATCAGAAATCAGATTAGATCTTGCTTAGGCTAGTCATTGGGTTTGATGATGGTTAGCCACTTTGACAAGCTCTTTTGCAGTTTCAGCCAATAATAACTGCGACACAGTTCTCTCAATTTGCTCACTACAATTGTTGGATCAATGTCCCTTACCACTATCACTGTCAGTTTCTTGTCCTCTTTGTTCATGGAGATTGGATCCAACCCTGCAAATTTCAAAGGCAAAAGCACTCAGTTTTCTGAAAGTTTTGATTTTCTTTAAATCAGGAACCAGGATTTATTAAGAAGAAATAAAACCACTGTTTATCAGAGTAAAGAGAAAAGTGCAAATGGGCCAAGTAGAGAAATTGTTTCATTCTATCTCAGATTCTAGCCGCTGGGAGCACTAATAAGTTGGAAGCACAGCTTTTTTTCCCCGCCATGGAGAGCACTCGCTAAACATCTACTCGATTAATCTGCCACGGAGAGATTTGAACTACAATCAACTTGGAAAGGTAGCTGGGTGGGGGAGCGGACGGAGAGGCGGAGGCAGAGGGTAAGAAAGTTTCTTCGGATTCCACGGTTGTGTTTTGGGCTTTCTTAGGCCCGGATCTATTACTTGGACGGGATACTTTTATTTCTTATTAGTGTGTATTTTGCATGGTGTTTTTTTTTTAAATGTATTTTTAGTTTTAAAAAGTAAATTAATATTTTTTAATGTTTTTATAATTTTTATGTTTTGATGTTAGGATAAAAAATTATTTTAGTATATTTTTAAATAAAAAATTATTTAAAAAGCATTTTACTTTTACAAAAAAAAAAACATCCATGAAAGAAAGAAAGATGATTTATTGCTATTATTTTACTTTAAACAAAAGTTATCACATTTTTGGCATAAATATCTCATATATGTATGGTGTGTGTACAAAAAAAAAATCAGTATATTAATTAAATCACATTTTATATAACTATTAATTGTACGAGAAATATTTGCATTTTTTCCTATTATAGAACAATATCTTGGAGTATTTGATTAAGGCAAATAGAAAAAATCCTTTAATTAAAAGAAAACAAATCCTTTCATTAAAAGAATTTCTTCAAATCTTCTAATTAATTTGTTGATATTTTAACGTTTCCTATTTTAGCATTTTTCCTAATTGTACTTCACTTTCTTTATTTTGATTTTTTTTTCATTTTCCATAATTAAAGGCAATAATCAATATTTTTCGCTATTGAAACCTTCTTTGTTTTAGAGTTTTTTCCACAATTAAAGGCAATTACAAGTATTTGCCCAACTGGACTTCATCTTCTTCTCAAAGTTCCACAACTAATTGAAATAATAAATATATCTTGTAATTTTATTTTAGTGAATGCTTGTTAAATAAGTAAAGTGTTGTTTATATTTGACAACCAATCGAAAAAAGGATAGCATGTGCATTAAAAGAAGAAATAACTTTAGTTTTTCATCAGCCATTAGAAGAGGAAACCATCTTTTATTCTGTTGTCTTTTCGTAGCCTGAAGTTCGCCAAACTACTTAATTTTGATATTTGTTTCGGAAAGCAGAAATTAGCATCTTTACAACACAGAAAAATCTTAAGATAGCACTTAGAGACTGTGCAACACAATACCACAGAGCTTTCAAAAATGGTTCCATGGCCAGTAACTTCATTGGATTGCCAAGTTCTAGAGTCAACATAATGGCCATGAAAAATAAGATCCAATCAGAAGTGTTTATCTGGCGTGAAAGCCATGATCTTTCTGATTGTGTTTGTATGTATGGTATGTAATTTTAGGATATGTGGAACCTAGTTTCTTCGTTTTCGTTATGCGTCGTGTATCTTATCCATTAAAGTTCCGTCTTTATAGCTCTCTTTACAGCCTGCACAAGTATCTATTACGTGTTCTGTCTTGACTCTGTATAACTGACTTTTTAATTTTTAACTTATAAATTCTAACTTATACTACACTTTTCTTTTCTTCTTTAAAAAAAATTTAAGCCGTTTTTACTATCATAGTTCTAACTTATATTTATTTTAAATTATTGTTATCATATTTATTTATTAAAAAAATGGTTCTTTAATTATGATTCAAAATCAAAAGTTATTTTTCATCATTCTTGTCAAACGTTCTCTATATAATTAGCATGATTGAAAACTTTAAATCTAATTATTTTCCCAATAATAAAAGCCTAAACTAAATGGCAGAAGTGAAAGCAAATCCCTTCTTCTTCTTTAGACAACTAACACTAAGAAGAAAAAATAATCAATCTGACAAAATTTAACCAAAAAGACCTAAAAATTAAAAAAAAAAATAGAAAAACTAAGCCACGTGCCCGAAACTTCTATTAATTAATGGCAGAGTCGTCTATTGAAGATTGGCAAATTGATGGAGAGCACAATTGTCAAGGAATAAAAACTATAATTTGATGATCTAGCTTAAGGCTTCTCCGATACAACAGCCCTTGCTCCTCGTCCAGCGAAATGGTGCTTTACCTGCGTCCTTGGTGGATTTGCAACTAAAGAAGTAAACATTGAGTGTGTGTGTGTGTGTGTGTGTGGGTGTGGGAGAGAGAGAGAGAGGGAGGAGGGGATAGGGAGATTAGTAATTTTCGTTCTGATGGAACCTGTAAAAAGTCATTAATACAGCTCTGAAATTAATTTCGGGATTGTGTTTCATACCAATTTCTTCAAATCTCTCAGCAATCACTAATCTGAAGAGATTCAATAAGGGCGTGTTCGTATTCAATGTTTCAACTGGAGTTTGACAGCTTGAAAGCTACCTTGGCCGGCAATTTCAATATTGAAGCGTAGAGAGGAGAGTGATCTAAGTTGAGACTTCAGGGGCAGGGGAACCTCTCACGTGAAGGGCTTTCCATGCGTGGGCGTACATGACAAGCAGATAAAAGCATAGGTTCACAGAACTTAGAATACCTAACAGCATGTAATATTTGCCCAGATGACTTGTATTCAGAGTGTCATGAAACCAGCTGCCTGACAAAGTAAGAACAAGTGCCGCACTCAGGAACTTCCCAACGCCAATTGCAGACTCGTTGAATGGCGATTCATAATGTTCCAAAGATTCATCTACATGGATATTATAAAAATCAGCTAAGCCATCAGCAACCAGTCCTTCTACGAGTCCTCTCAGGAAAAACTGTGGAACCAGCCATACTGTGCTCATTGGAAATGGTTCAGCATCTCCACGTGTTTTAATAAGATTCAATCTACGAGTCTCAACCAGCATTGATACCATGCAGCAGATTATAGAGCACGCTATCCCAATTGCAATTCTCACAAGTCCAACACGATGCTTCAGAAGTTTTTGAATCCATATCGGTCTAACATGATGCATCGGAAGTTTTTTAATCCATCCGGATACGAAAAAGTCATGGACGTATGTAACTATAACTGTTACGAAACCCTGAAGTAGAAACAGAACATTTATAGACAAAACCGGATCAGGATCGAGGCTTTCACTTTGCACAACAAAGAAAGTCGTACCCGTTGCCAGAACGAGGCCGTGGATGGGGAGTGCTGTCCACATAGGAAGCAATGCAAGAAGTTGCTTTACTCGTTGCACATCTCGGACTGGGAAAAGCCTCCCGTTTTGCTCCTGTTCTTCAGCTCAGAGGGACTTGGATGTCTCTAAAAGAACAGCTTTGTCCAGCCACCTGTGCAGATCATATCAGAAGGGAAAAGAAAGAGAGCAGAGGAGATATAGGGAAAGAAAAAGTGATACTATCACTGCTTGGACCCTGGGGAAGGGCCTGTTTTGCAACTACAAGGCTTACAGATGCAATACTAAGTTGGACTTGTTGTACTCCCTACCCAAAGGAAAATCATGGTGGCATATAGATCCATAAACACTTTATATATCTCATCCAAATTCCCATAACCCATTGAAATGGGCTACGGGGATCACAATACTACACCAACCTGATTATTCCAATGTCGGGCAATAGAAGCAATCCACCACTATCATTTATATAGTAGTCATTGGGTTCACGAGCGTGTTGCAGGTGACGCTTCACAAAAGCTGCCTTAAGAACTCTATAAATAACGAAAAGAGGGCTTCCAGTTGGTTTGTCGGAGTAGTAAAAGCTTTTTCCTAACGCAAAGGTTAAACCAGCCAATGCCATAACCGAAAATGAAATTGCAAAGTCATCATTCTCTGGTCAGAACCTCCGGCCATTATCACAGACGAGACAGTGCCCACCGTAGAAGCAATACGCCACCAAAATTTTCTTCGAACCTCAGCTTTGTCATAATCTATACTGATGTCTGGCTTACTAGGTACCTCGTCAGCTTGGTCCTTATCTGCGTTAAGGTTAGGTTTATGCTCGACTAATTGATCACGTAGAAATGCTTTTAATCAAGGATCCTGACTTGCCTTGCCCACAAGTGCTAGTACCATCATCAGATACAGTAGTATAATCACGGTGGAGGATGAATTGCCCCAGAACCGGTTAGCAAGAAACCATAGCAACAGTCCCTGCAGCAAAATGGACGTTTAATTTGTTGCAAATTAATGACTATAAATTAAAGCACTAAAAAATCGATCGAAAATAATAGGAATATTAAAAAAGGAAAAGAATAGGAATATTAAAAAAAAAATCCGTTATAGCTGTTTTCATTTGAAAACTAAACAAATAAAAGTTAATTTATATGCTATTCGCCTAAATCTGTCATATGATTGCTAGTGCTGACAGAGAATATCAACCTTTTAGCATTTACAAGATTTTTTTTAGCTGGAAACTTAAATAATATATGAACTCAATAACTCCTCTTTTTTTTTTTTTTTTGATAATATGAACTCAATAGCTTATGTAAAGTTACATTTGCCTTAATCAAATACTCCAAGACATTGTTCTATAATAGGAAAAAATGCAAATATTTCTCATACAATTAAAAGATATATAAAATGTGAGTTAATTAAAATACTGATTTTTTTAATAGCAGAACCTTTCATCCAGCTTTCCTTAGCAAATGACCCTCCACCACAAATAACTGCACCAAAAACCTTAGCCCATCATCGGGGACTTGTAGTTTTTCAGTTTCCACATCCTGCTTGTGATAAGCAAATCAGTAAACTATAGGAATCGAGTGAAATTGGAGTGAACTTCAAGTGATTTACCACAAGATGAACCAGAAAGTACCCGAAGATAACTGCCAACAGAAAAGTGAAACTTGGAATGACGTAACTCAACAAGCTTGCAAAAGTCAGAGAAGTTCATGCTAAATAAGCATAGGAAACATTAAGACGGATAATACATTGACAGTTCCAAGAGGTGAAAGCACAGAAGTCTTGTTATCACTGAGAGTGAAAGTGATGGTCGCTGCATGCTGCTACCTGGAATGAAAATACACAGGAAATTACAAGTAAACACATTTTGACTCTCCGAAGAGCAGTATTCATGAGGATATTTGATGCGTTCTAAAAAGTATGATTTACCTCGGCAAACATTCCGATTCTGATGTTCATGAAGTCAGCGATCTCAATCAGGAACGACCCAGGTTTACACAAGGACAAACTGAGAGCACCAAATGTGCATGGAAAAAAAAAAATTCTGATCAGAATCATGCAGAGAATTCACAAAGAATTAGTAACATAAGGTGGAGATGCAATAGTTGTTGATAGAATGAAAAAAATCAATTCATTACCTCGGCAAAAACCCCCGTGCTTCTTTTCCAGTCTGTTATCAGTATAGCCTGCATCCATCTTACTGACAGACATCTAGAGCCCCGACAAAAATCTGTGAAAAGACTTGTTATGTAGTTCCACAAGTGGACATACAGATTTGCTCTGAACTTGTCAAAGTCAAACAACAGCTCAGGCCCCCAGATATCATCATAAAATTCACCACAATATTCTGAGCATTACTTGCCATTTGAAAACAAGAACTTGAAGTCATTTGCTGTCTTTCTTGCTCAACAAACTCTCACAAAGACCAGTATTGATATACCATATGTTATTATAGATGTCAAAAAAGATATCCTCTACTTTGTTGAACTCCTCCTCGTATGCAAGCAACACCACCCCATTGCATACAACACCACCCCATTATGAAGATAACTCGGAACCGTTTACTCAATTCATGCAATTGCACATTTTTAAAACAAATCAATTGGTTCTCACAAAACAAAGCAGTATAATCCATCTTCCACAGTACAAAATACCACAATTCTTCTCCAAAGTGGCTCATGTGTGGGCTCAATTTCTGCAAATACTTACTAACAAATTGAAAACAGACAAAATAGTTGCTCAAACAAGCCATTACTGTCCCCCAACAACTTCACACCACACGGAACAACAAGTTCAACAACACAATCAAAGAAACCTTGTTTCACCTAATTGTCTGTTGCTTCTTACTAATCTCCCAGTTAAATTCACCATCATCTTGATTAATGTTTCTATTATCTTCCACTTCATCATCTTTTGTTTATTCTTCAAGAATGATTCTGCTAAACACCCTAAAATTGAAATCTAAAAATTGCCTTCAATCTCAGACTCAACAGGATCAACTTCTGGAGGAATTTGGAAAAATATCTTCACCAAAGATTTCAGGGTCTGACAAACATCTGTCATCTGTGTTTGATCGATTCCCTTTTTCTGCTGATTTCTTGCCCTTCAGTTGCAAGAATCAAAATCCCATTTAATTTGTCAAATCTTTCTTCATTAGTGGGTCTTCCCATTTTATTTTATTTATTATCAAACCACTTATTGCACATAAAAGTTTACTTTTTTAAAATCAAAAGTCCCTTTTTCTACTGATTTCTTGCCCTTCAGTTGCAAGAATCAAAATCCCATCTAATTTGTCAAATCTTTCTTCATTGATGGGTCATCCCATTTTATTTTATTTATTATCAAACCACTTATTGCACATAAAAGTTTACTTTTTTAAAATCAAAATAAACATAGAATAGAAGATTCTAATACCTGACAGAGAAACAGCTGTCTTGATGATCCTGGTCATGGTTTTCTGATCTTGGACATCAACCTTCAACACTAATTTCTGTCCGAAATTTTTTAATCACACCTTTGGTGGTCGGGGCAGAGGGAAATAAGATTATCATTTCAATACGTGAGAAGAGCGGAGGATCATCAGTATTGCAAAATCTTCACCCTAATCTGTTACAAACTCTTCATCCTATTCCCTTGCAGAGAATAAACAGTGAGAAACGCTGGTTGTTAATTTCAAAATATACATTTAGTGATGCAAATCGCAGTGCCCGTTTACAATTTGAATAAATGTTTCACTCAAGATCCAAGGGTTTGTCTTTAGCTACAAAGTTATTTGAAGTTTTTTAAAGTTTAAAATAAATACTGCCAAATGAAAAAAAAATATTGAACAGAAACATGTGAAAATTGCAAAATAACCGAGGTCTACATGATCTAAAAGTGACCTATTATTGTGTACCACAACATTTAAAATGATATTTTACTTATTATGTAATTTTTTCTACAGGTTATAAATTTTACAATGAGGATGTAGTTTTTTTATAAATGACTGAGATTTTCTGTTTGCTTATAGTGGAAATAAAGAGATGAAAAAAACAAAATACAAATACTTTGAAGATTTTGTACCAATATCTCTTTTTGAACAAGTGATAACTTATCATTATTCATAATGCATAACCTCACAAATAACTTGACAAAATTTGTATACAGAAAGTTTACTATTTGTTTTGATGATAATGATTTTTAAAATGTTTTTAAAAAGACTCGTCACTTATCGTATACAAGAACTAGATCTGAAAATCTAGATAATCTTGTGTGACTCTAAAAAAAAATTAATTCATTACTTTACAGGGTTCACTAATTGAAAAAGAGTAAAGACAAAATTAGTGAAACTCTTTTGCTCATTTAATGTTCTAACACTCAATCTCGCAAATCTCACATGTTGCTGTTCAATACTTCTCTCTCATGACGTATAAATTAAGCACTAAAAGATCAAATGAGCAAAAAAATCTTACCAATTTTATCTTTATTCTTCTTCAATCATTAAACACTGTGAAATAATAAATTAATTTTTTTTAGAAGCATACGAAATTATCTAAATCTTCATATCTAGTTCTTGCATACAATAAAATACAAATCTTCTTAGAAACCTTCCAAGAATCATCATCATGTAAACAAACAATAAACTCTCCATTCATAAATTTTGTTAAGTTATTTGTAAAATGATACATTATGAATAATAATGAGTTATCACTTACTTATTCAAAAAGAAACATTAATACAAGATCTTCAAAGTATATATATCATGTTTCTTTCATCTTTTTATTTTCACCATAAACAAGCAAAAAACCCCAAAAATCTATAGAAAAATTACATTCTCTTTATAAAATTTATAATATTTAGAAAAATTTACACAATAAGCAAAACATCATTTTAAACATTACAACAAACAATAATAAGTTATTTTAAAAACATATAAACCTCAATCATCTTACAAATCTCACATGCTATTTTTTAATATTTTTCTCCATTAATCAATATTTATTTTGGACTTTAAAAGATCTTCAAGTAAATTTACAGTTAAAAATAAATTCTTGTATTTTTTCACTGTAACAAAGTGAAACATTTCTACAAATAAGGAATAAATATTGGAATTTACATCACTAAATATATATATATTCTAAAAACAACAATCAACAATTATTTGTTTATTTTCTATAAAGAGTTTGCAAAACATAAAGTAAAAAATTTACAATGCTAATAATGCTTATCTCGTCTAGTGTTGTAATGATAATCTTACTTACCTTTGCCCCGGCCCATCAAAATCATCAAAATTAAAGGTGTGATTAAAAACTTGCTTTGTTCTGGATCATCATTCCAAAAATCATCCAAAACAAGAAATAACTTGTTGCCCATCAATATCTCCCGGAGTTTACAGTGAAGACTACTGTGAGCAGCGGTGGAACCAGGGGGTGGCAAGCCGGGACCCGGGCCCCTTCAAAAAAATTTAAAATTTTCTATTATTTAATATTTTTAATTTAAATAAATAAGTTTTTTAATAATATATATATACATATTAATTTTGGCCTCCCCTGTAAAATCAACCTACCTCCGCCCCTGACTGTGAGGCATGAGATCACAATCCAAAAACCCAAGCTCTTTGAGAATGATTTTTGTTAGGTTGAAAACATTAAGATCTTGTGAAACAGAGACCCATGCTTTCAGATCAAACCACTTTCGCACGTCATCACCATGGTAGACAAATCTTGCCAATCCCAGGCATGCCCACTATGGGAATTACCTGCAAACTTTCTCCTTCTGCATCATCGGATAGAAGCAACTTTTTTATGGCCTCCTTAGAATGGTCCCTACCATAAACTCGACTATGACCTAGCAGAGAAGTCGAAGGCACGCGCTCATGAGATGGCGGTTGCTTCATCAGATGGAGGCTACGAGCTTTGTCTTCTAACCTTTCAAGTCTTTCGAAAATCTTTTCTAATTTATGGGCCATCTCTCCTTCCTCGCTCTTGCTTAAAGGACAAAGAAAGGAGATAAAAAAAGTTTCGCACCTGATACATGGCAGTTTGAGAGCCAGCCACCAACTCTATTTGTCGAGCTTCATTATCAATCTCAATCAACAAGTCTTCAGCTTCATAGATAGCTTCTTTAGCATCCACAATCCAAGTCTTCAGAACCATCACAGTAAATAGATCTCTCCCAGCTTCAGTTATTTGCTTCTCCTCCACGACATTGAGCAAGCCATCAACAGTATTCAATATTTCTCTCAACTTCTCGAGCTTTTCCTTGTCGAGCTCCCCGCATGTGCAAAAGCCCAGAAGCACAGGAGCCAACTGCTGGCCCAGAAAACCAGCAGCACCATTCAGACATGCTAACGCAATCTCA